CCAAATTATCTGTATATTCCTTCCTGTTCATCACTACTGTGGCACCTCTTTTGTCGGCTTTTAGAACTATTTAATAGTTTCTTTTCAATTCACTATATTTCTTGGTTATATTGTTCCTATCCGTGGGTTCTTTATGCACCAAGATTGTTGGGATGACTTCCATTTGATTCTTCAGGATGATACCTCAGCCACTCTGCTGTTTTTTACAAATAACAAAGTAGACGTATATATTTTTATTCAATAATTTAGGATATAGGAGTGCTCCTTGAATTGTCGAAAATCAAATTTGAGCAAGTAGTTTCAAACCGAAATTAAAGATTATTCCTATGGCATAGTTAAGCATCGTGTATTATTTACAATAAAGGCCTAGTCATATAATTGTGGGAAAATTGAACTGCCAGTCCTTCATCATGTTATGCGACCTGGGGAGAATACAGCTCTTATATAAAATCTACTAGTCTTTTTGAGAATTAATAAACGCTCATTTACTCTTGACACAGATTTTTCCAATAAAACCTTTGTTTAAAGTTCGAATGCTAGATCAAAGGCCCGTGTTGCCCCACTTTCCAGAATTCTTATATACACCAAGGCTACATTGAAGCTTATAGTCTAATCTCTCTGCTTTATCATTTGCTCATCCACTGGCTTTAAGAAGTCACCAGAATTAGTACATTCGCTTCAATTGGTTGAAAATAAATCTTGATATCTTATGCATAAAAGAGCTTAGTTTAATATTCGTTAGTTATAGTTAGTTATAGTACGGGAAACAATCTTTATAATGAGGACTGCACTATTATGATTAAAAAATGTAAACAACTATGAACAATGAACAAGAAACGACCAAGTTCACGAACCTTCTGTACACTCCATATCGGTGCACGGCGTAGCGCCAACAGATACTTGCTGTCTATAGACAGGTTTCTGATCTCCAGCTGGGCCGTTTTCACTCTGTTTGTTATCTTTACTGATGAGGTTAGCAGAGCCAGATTGACAAGTAGGGTTTACGAGATAAGAAATGGAAGGTGAGGGTGAAAGAGGAACACTGGAATGTTGTAACGATGGAGCAAGAGTCTCAGAGAAGGAAGAGGCGGCTGCAAGCGGCGTGATGAAACTATGTGAAGTGGAGGTGCTGCCTTGAAAGCAAAATGGCGAAAGATATCGATATTGCTTCATAAATAGAATTAATGATAGCATAAAAGGCCAAATAATGAATTTATTACAAATAGTGCTTGGAGAAAGTCGCCAAGACCTAGAGTTATGCACTTTATACCTTCGTATATAGAATATGACTTTATCTACGCTCCAAACTAGACAATTTAAGGATAAAATTTTTTGTTTAGCAATCGGTTGTTGAGACTTATCAGTACGTGCCAATTCCGTGTGGTTTTAGTAAAACCAATAGCAATTCAAAACTGAAGAGAAGGCATGGCTTTTAAATATAATTAGCTGCGATATCCGTCTAACAAGACCATATACATCTAGGATAGAGTGTAGTCCAGACCTTGCCTGTGTCATGATGAGTTTGTTGTGTAAGGAGCTGTTGATGTGACGTTTAGTAGGAACACTATCTACTTAATAAGATATAAAGACCAAGATAGTGTGGCCTTTGTGTGATCGCAGTAGCCTTTAGTTGTATAAAAGTGATTTGCCCTTGATTAAACAACTTGGTCATATAGTCCGGAGTCCATTGTATGCATGACAATTTCCAAAGTCGGAATGTGGACGTAGTACATTCCAATACGTTTCACCGGCATCGTCAGTGGCATCAGTGCTATCATCTGAGCAGCAGACTACAACTCGTCAAAATAGACAAGTGAAACCGATCCTATGACCAAACGTGTGAAAACAGTTGTGGTATCTCTCCTTCTGCCCTGGGCTATTCACATTTCCTATATCCTCGTATAACGACTGATACAATTTGTTTACCGTACTTATTTAGATGTTGTATGGTGTGCCCTTTTGAGCGGCAGTCGTAAGAACCCTCCACACTCCACGCTGTCGTTGACATCGTCCTTCAACCTTGTACTGGAAATGTTGATCAGAGTCTGCCATATTTTTACTCGATTCTTATCAGAGCTCCCTCTTGCCTCGTATAATCCGGCTCCTATCTCCCTGGTTCAAGTATTATAGTCAACACCTGCAACCCCATCTGTGCTACTCGAGGAGTTATTACCCATTCCATGCGTCTGAGTGACTGATTCGGGGCTAAAGTCTCTGAGTAAGTTTCATGGTCAAGTCTTTGCTACATGGACCACGTGTATAGTAAAACAGACCTACTGTCAGCCAAACTAGCTCTGGTCTCCGCCGCATCTATCCTGCTTCTATCCCTAATACAAAGTCTATGGCATGCTTTGCCCTATCTCTTCTGTGCCAGCCCATAAATGTTATGGTACTGCTTGCTTTGATTAGGTTTAACGTTAAACTACGTTTATGGATTGGCACACAAGAGACTAGGGCATAGCAAGTCATAGACCTGGAATTAAGGATATAAACAGGATAGACGCGGCGGGGACTGGAGCTAGTTGGCTGACAGCAGGTTTTACAAGAGACGTGGTCCATGTAGCAAAGGCATGACCATGAAACTTATTCAGAGGCGTTAGCCTCGAATTCGTTACCCAGACACATAGAAGGGCGAATAACGCCTAGAATAGCACAGATGGGGGGGGGCAGGGGTCGAGTGAAATACATTTACCAGGAAGATAGCAGACGGATTCTATGGGGCAAGAGAGAGACTCTGATAGGACCCAGGGAAGGACTACATAACAATATGAGACTCTGGTCAACATTCCCAGCAAAAGGGTGAGGGGGTGATAACGACAGCGTGGAGTGTGAATGGTTTTTAAGAATGCCGCTCGAAGGAGCACACCCACACCACATTTAAATAAGCACGGCATATATTGTATCAGTAAAGGCGTGATACGAGGATATAGGAAATGTGAATAGCCCATGGCAGGAGAGATAGCACAACTGTTTAGCACACGTTTGGTCAAAGGACCGGCTTCATTTTTCTCTTTGACGTGTTGTAGTATGGTGCTAAGACTGGCAAACCTCACTGACGATGACTACTACAATGC